AGGGCGGCTGTTGGAGGCCCTTGCAGCGCATCTGCCTGCACAGAAAGGATCTGTGAGGCATAGCTCCTCCGACCCTGGGCGCTGCTGGATGGTTTCTCCCTGTGACAGCCTGTCCTGCCCGGGAGCTTCCTTTCTGTGGGCCCATTGGTGCCTCTGCCCACCCTGGTCCCACTTGCAGGCAGAAGCGAGGGCAGCAGGAGGCAGGAGGAGCTCTGGTGCTGCTTAAGGGGGTTTATAAAAAACGGAAGGATCCCAAAGTGCGTGGGGATGGTGGTTAGGGAACCTGAAGGGTAGCAGGAGCTGTTACAGGGGCACCACCAGGCTACAGCTGCCCACAGCTGGGCTTTCCTGCAGGGAGGTCCCGGTGGGGACAAGAAGTCTCTTCCTAGCTCCTGAAAGGCCAAGTGTGTCTTTAGAGAGCAGGACAGAGAAGGTGGGATGGTATGAGAGCTTTGAAAACTCCTTCTTTCCATCAAGGATGAGAAAACTGTTGTGAAAGAGAAATTACAGTACCCCTTGTATGCACTAATTAATAGCCACAGGTGAAAGGAGCTGGCGAGAGGCAGAAAGCAAAGGCACTGGGGCTCCTGGAGGGCTGACACACTCCCAGCAGGTTATCCCTGGATCGCTCTTCTCCCCGGTGAGGCGTGCGGTGGCTGTGGATGCACATGCCCAGACCAACCCTTTGGGTGCCCTCTGCAATACTGGGATAAGGACGGCCGAAGGGAAGGAAAACGGTGCTGGGAGAAGACTGGAGGGAAATCTAAGTTCAAGTGCTTTTGTTTAAATGTGCCTGCAGACTAGGGCAGCATCAGCTAGACTGATTTCTTCCGAGCATCTGAATGCATGTTTATTATATGCAGAATTAGCTCAGGCAGGGTCCATGCCATGGCATGTTTAGGGCAGGGGCATCCCAGGGAAACCTTGGATGTTTTTTCATGGTTGTCTTCTTCTCCCTAGATATAGCCGATCCTGCACGTAGGAAATTCAGTACTCTCTCTGTGTTCCTGCAATAACTCTGTTAGTGCTTATCTGTCCCACCGAAAAGGCTCTTCCGTGTGTATTATCCCTGGCTCTTGTGATGTGTTTGAAATGCCGAAGGAATCAGCTGGGAGGCAGCTGATGATCCCAAGGCCTGTTTGTAGTTGATTGGTGCCAAAAGGGGCCACTTAACCCTGCAAGAGCAAGGAAAACATCTCTGAGAGGTGGGTTTCACCCTGCCCTCCCCATGGGGGTGCAATCTGAGGCTGGTCCCCGATCACCGGCTGGGCTGTTCCACTGTGATGCCGGTGTCTCCACAAACAGAATGTTTCCAAAGGTGATGCCGGCAGCTGACAGTGACACTGCTTGAGCCAGAGGTGCCTGGCACCTGACTCACTGTGAGCACAACTTGACTTATTTCATGTTATCTGGATCCACAGGGGTCAAAGCCAACCTGCATGAGACCAGGTGATGGTGGAACCATGACCCATGCCCATGGGCTGTGGGTCAGCCAGCTTGGTGACACTGGTCCCTTCCCGCTATGCAGGTCTCAGAGGAGGTCAGCACTGCCAAAGAAGCATGACCTCCACTGCAGCTCTCACGGGCAGTGCGGGACCCTCCCCAAGGCCAGCCCAAGCCTCTTTCTTTGCCCAAAGGACCAGCTGCCTCCTTGCCACTGCTGCTGGGAGATGGGCACCTCTCGTGAGGAACTGTGGCCTCCCAGCAGCCTGGCTGCAACCTCGGAACTAATGAATTTTAAGCCTCGTGGTTAACAAAGCCGGCCTGACTCTGCACAGAGACAAAGCCCAAAGCCTGCCTCCAGCTCTGCCCACAGCAAGCTGAACACGGCGCTTCTGTGAGCTTGCACAAAGCCTCCCTTGTGCAGGAGGGGATCCAGCCAAACAAGTGATCTCCTTGGCTGCGTGTCTCCCAGTGCTCCATCATTTATATTATTTGCTGGATTGTTCCCACTACCAGGGAAAATTTAACAAGTAAAAGCATCTGATAAAAATCTATTGACCGCAGTAAAACACCAACCCAGCCAAACCAGTCTGTACAGCATGACCTTCGCAGCCTTTGAGACACGTTCATTCAGTTTACTACCTAGAAAAACAAATGCTGTGTGGTACTTGCAACACCACCAGTGCGAAGGCTTTGATTAAAGCTTGTGTTACCAAAGCGCAGCAAGATGTTTGAGAGCCAAGTGCTGCTTCCTTCCCCAAGCCCGGTTCCCTGTTGTGCAACGACATGTCTCTTAAGTCATCTCCTTGGCATTTTGTGCTTCTCCTTTTGTGTTTCCAGATCACACTGCTCCCCTTGCTGCCGACCTTAGCGCTAAGATCCCAACTCCTGGCTTCTGGTGACAGCCCTTCTGGCTGGGTGCCCAGCAGGAACGATGCATCTTGTCTTTGCTGAGGAACTCTGCACGAAAACAACTTTTGGCCACTGGTGCCTTCAAGTCTTACAGGATTACTCACAGATGGTTCAAATCTTGCCTTGGAGACAAATCTTCTGTGCTGGAGGCAGCAGCTCCTATGGTGAAGGCATGCATGGCCTGGATGGATCAGGTACCAGCACGCACGGCAGAATGAGGCCACCAGCATGTTCCTCTTGGTTGAATTCATTTCAGCAGATAGTGAGCACACGTGAGCAAATCCATCTAACACTCAGAGGCGATGGTGTTTGCCATCCTCAGAGAAGGTGACCTCGGACTGTGCGGCCAGTAGTGAATGACTCCAGGCAAGTAGAGCTATTGCACAGGAGATCTGCTGCACGGCTTACTTAGCCAGCTCCATGGCTTGAATACATCTTTGGATGGGAACCTTGCTTTTTTGTCAAAGCACACATGGAGACTGTTGAGGGTGTTGCCTGCAGCAGCTGTGGCAGGGCACTGTTCCCTGGCGTAACCCACGGTGCCCTGGTGCATGGGCTGTAGCAGCTCAGTGGAGTCATTGGCCAGAGTTTGCATGGAGCAGCCTGGTGATGGAGAGGGCACCAAGTGACCCAAGAGACATTTTGTGAATTGGCTCAATACCTTTTGAAGGACACTGGAATCAGCGGACCCTTAAAATCCCGTCCAGTCCTGTCCCACATGAAATCCCTCCCTCCCAATAAGAACAGAGGACAGCAAATAAAAGGAGAGGGAAGGTACTAAGAAAACCAAGGCAGAAGAGGAAGTGTCTGAGGAGGCCTTTGTTCAATGTTATAACTATGGTGGAAAGAGCTGATTCAAGATAAACCCACCTTGCTGGCTCAAATTTGCTTACAGATGTCAGTGGGCTAATGTTTCACTGGGAGGCTTTACCCCACATCAGATATCAGCCACCCTTCAGCCATTTACACATGAGAAGTGACCAACACACAGACCCTTGCAGCTCTTACAACTCTGCTCAACTCCCTCACCTTCCCTATGGACTGACACCAACCTGCCATTCTTTATTTTTCTCTCTGTAGCCAGAGGGGAGTTTTACAGCCTCGGTAGATTCTTCCATACTAAGGATAAGGGTACTTCAAACCTGGGGTTGTATTGCCAGCTATGTTTTGTGTAGAAAGGAAGGCAGAAAGTAGAGGGCAACTAGGTTCTGGGCAGGTCAGAGGACAAACAGTCTCCAAGCTGAGTCCTTCTAGCAGTGGATGATGTAGTAGTCCTGGAAGTACAGCAGCACTGTTAGAGGAGGGCCCAGGACCGGGCTGATCCCACACGAGCATGTTACTGTAGCAGTAATCAAAAAGCCATTTCCATAGGCAGAACAGTGGGATCTGTCAGGAAAAGCAAACAGCAGCTACTAGCAGAAGTCTGATCAGTCAGTAATACCATTCTTTAAGATATGTGCATGCATGCCCTAACTGGAGGACAGAGCCATACTGAATTAGCTCTTCTATTATAAGGATGATGTCTCAATTTATTTCTAAAGGGTGCCCTTGCCAAAGGGCTCTGTGTCTGTGTGCTTCATAATAAAACAATTAAAAGCCCCATTAACGCTAAAGTCTTACCAGGCTAGCACAGAAAGGAGAAAGAAAGGGTCTTTCCCTTCCCACAGAGCCCAGAGCTGCCAAATTTACAGGCACCATGGGAATGGAAAGAGTTTGAAATTGGAAGAGATTAGATGGGAAGGATTACAGATGGCCACAGGTTTTGCACTCAGAAATCATCACTGTTTGACAGATTGTTACACTGAGGAAATCTGCCCCCAGACAATGCTCAAAAGCTTTCAAATTAGTGGCAGGGTCATTGCGGATCGGGTGACCTAGTCCAGCCTCACTGGGCTGGTTACAAAACCCTT